TGCGAGTGCCTCTAATCAAGTGCGCCCTTCGTTCACAGCCGAGCAGCAGGTTTGACTCGACGGAGGCCGTTGCATTCCTTGCAAGGGCCAGGATTGTCGTTGCTTGTCACCACACTCACCACCTACACGGAGCTGTGACAGTCGTGCCTCGTTTTCTTGACAGGCATACAGTCAAGGCGGGGAGTTACTGAGAAGACGTGCCGTCTGGAAGAACGCAATACCTGCTGAGCTGTCCATGACTCGCCTCGCTGCTCGCTCTCTGCCGGGTCGCTCGTGGCTTTTGCTCTGGCCTCCCCGGCTCTGTCAAGTGAGGCGCTCACTTCGCGCGCTGCGGAGTCCTGCGTTGGTCGCGCACAGGGCCCGACTGAAAAAGAAAGGAGAGCATGATGCCCGTCTGTGCCGGGCGCGTACTGCTTGGAAGGCTATGTCCCTGGTTGGTCGAAGGCCCGTTGCTTTGCCTCTTGGCCCTCAGAAGTGATGTGAAGCCCACTGTGAAGCCGTATAGCCATTCGGGCCTTTGCAACAGGACCTTCTCCACCTTAACACTGGTGAAGTCCATCTCTTGCTGAGCTCTGACTCGAAGTGATCTGTGGATAAGACCTGGCTAAGACTCCCAGAGCTTGAAAGACATTGCCGCCTGAAGCCAAAGGGGTGCCTCAGGCTCTCGTAGCCCGGCTTGGGAGTCGAGGGCTCCGAAAGGGATCGAGACTGGTGTGTGACTCATTTGGGGCAACTGGGTCGCTCTGGGCAGAGGATGCTGGCCTGGTCATATCTCATAGCCGTCATAGCAAGATGAGAGACCACGAAGGCGACGCAGTCGACCCGGGCACATCTGCTCATGCCGGCAAGCTGATTTAAAGTTCTCTGAGCAGTCTCACGCGAGTGTGAGCTTGTACAGCACATGCTTGTGTAACTCCATGCACGCCCAGCACTCGGGCATCAAACTGGATTGTGACAGGTCTGAACGCCACAAGACCCCATTGAGCTTGCCCTGGCCCTCGCCTGCGCGGCCGAAGCCGCGCTAGTGCCAGAGGTGTGGCTGCGACTGTACCGGACTGGGGGAGTTGAATAGGGTTTAGGGTTTAGGGTTTAGGGTTTAGGGTTTAGGGTTTAGGGTTTAGGGGACCAGCGCAGCGGGTGACAGGCACTGCAATCACATGGCTCGAGGGCTCCGCAAAAGTCATCAAAACCAACGGGGCTAACCCTATTCACGGGTAAAGGAAGCACCCAGCCCGCAATTCGCAGAACCGTGCTAGCCTTCGGCTGACTGACGCAGCATACCAGGTTCGTAGGAGGTTCCCTTTCATATCGAGTCTTGCAGCTGCGGTGACGACAGGCTGTAGCCAAACTGCCTTTTGTAGACCCCTGCGGTTCGCAGAAGCTTGTGGTGCCGACTATCTTTGTGCCACACAGCTCGCAAAAAGGGCATCCCTCTTGCCCGGCCCCCGCTCCACCTTTCACTTTCGTTTAGGCAGGATGCCCTAAAGAAAGCTTGGTCCGCAGTGGTTCGCCGTGGGTCCGCTGTCCGGCATGTCTTGAGCCTGCCCCGAAGTCGTCCCCGCATGGCCCGTTCTGACAAAGTCCGTTTGTTTACGCGCCTCGGGTTTGCGAGAAAGACCCTCACTCCCAATGCCGCAGCTTCCGTCGAAAGCATGCTTGCCTCCGCTTCAATCTGCCTCTAATCAAGTGCGCCCTTCGTTCACAGCCGAGCAGCAGGTTTGACTCGACGGAGGCCGTTGCATTCCTTGCAAGGGCCAGGATTGTCGTTGCTTGTCACCACATTCACCACCTACACGGAGCTGTGACAGTCGTGCCTCGTTTTCTTGACAGGCATACAGTCAAGGCGGGGAGTTACTGAGAAGACGTGCCGTCTGGAAGAACGCAGGAGATCGCACACGTTGTCAAGCAGGTCCACGTCTAACACATACCTGCTGAGCTGTCCATGACTCGCCTCGCTGCTCGCTCTCTGCCGGGTCGCTCGTGGCTTTTGCTCTGGCCTCCCCGGCTCTGTCAAGTGAGGCGCTCACTTCGCGCGCTGCGGATTCCCGCGCTGGTCGCGCGCAGGGCCCGACTGAAAAAGAAAGGAGAGCATGATGCCCGGCTATGCCGGGCGCGGTGCAGGGCAGCCTAATCGCCTCCCCCATTGAACCCCTCGAATCTGCAATATTGACACAAGTAGGGAGGGGCCTCCAGCCTAAACCCTAGAGCCTCGGGCTTGAGCTGTGTGGTTTGGTATGTTTAGGGGGAAGGGACGGCTGTTGAGGGCCTGCCCTTGCCAAGATGGGGGAGTGGGTTCTGGGCAGATCTCCCGATCGAAGAGCACAGCTTAAGGCTTTAAGGCTTGCGCCGAAGCCACGGCGACTTGCGCTCCTTCTGTGACCTCGACTTGCCGCTCCAAGTGGCAAAGATTGGGATCCTTAGTGCGTTCTGAGGCCGCCGTGGATACCCTGGATTCTGAACATCTGCAAGGTTGGCTCCATCCGGCTTGCGTCGGTTTTCCCTGTGTGGGGAGTGTTTGGAAAAGTCGTTTGGCAGTCGTGCTGCTGGAAGTGGCCGCAAGGCCAGCGGGCTTTGTGGATCTCTGTGGCTGAGGGTGCTCTGCCAGAAAAAAAACCCCGAACTCTCAATAATTCCACTCCAAGAAGTAGATGCTGCTGAGGTCCTAGCCAGGTGAACGCAGGCCATGGGGATCAGCCACGATGCCGGTGCAAAGTTCTCGATACCCTGCAGATATCTCTGAGATGCTTCGGGTAGTCTTTGGATAATATGCTTAGTGAGTTTGGTGTGGCCGGCTCCCGCCGCGACGCAAGATGTCCACAAGAAGTCTACGAGATGTCTGGGGACCTCAGAGAGGTTCTTGAGCTCAGAGGTCCTGTGGGATAAGTAGCTCCGTGCATAAGCAGGCCCGTGGTTTGCGCTCCGTCCCATCGCGACTGAAAGCATCAGATGTGAGCCTCTTCTTGCCGCAGCCATAGGCTCATAGGGCTCGGCTTGGATGCAGAAATGTGCAGATGTGTTTGCAGAGATGTTGCATCCGGTGCAGATGCCAACCTGGCATGACCTGGCCTACAAGCCAAGCCTGTTCCAGGAAGGGTCAGCCGACCATTCCGACATCCTCCGATCTTCCATCCCTGTGTGTTGTGCTCCGTTTTCCCCGAATGAGCACTCGTACAGGCGCTCGCCGCCCTGAGCGTGCGGCCTTGTTCAGGGGAGCTCGCATGTCACCACAGCTGTCGCTCGAGGCAGACCTGCCGCGCGACTCTGATTCCGATGTGCTTCATGCACGAGATGTTGTATACTCAGATATACTGAGCATACTGTCATCTTGTCATTTTTGGTGTGGCGTCCCTAGGGCCTCGTAGGATGGCGCCTGCCGGGTGCGGCATGCTTGGAACTGCCTGGCCCGACGGAGCTTCGACTCTTTTGCACTTAACAGAGGCCACCCACCAAAGAGGAGCAAGGAACCCTATATAAACCCTATAAACCCTTATAAACCCTATAAACAAGCCCTATAAACCCCCTAAGCCTCTGCACCAGCTCGTTGCACTTAGTCGGGCTGATGGGGCTGCTCAGGGCTCTACCTTCAGGTGCCGAGCCTGCGAGTTCGGTGGCTTGTGAAGCTCCAGTGAAGCTCCGGCCTAGAGTCCACTGCTGTGCCAGAAGCTTCCAACCAGCCCTTCTCCGAGCCTGTGCCTGCGCTTGGATGCACGCCACTGCGGGCGACGCAGTGTGTGGGGTTGGGCAGCTGCCGCAGACGGATGTGTCGATATGTTGCTCCACGGACTCGATGACCCCCCCCCCAAAGTGATGCTGGGCTCCATTGCACGGCTCGAGTGCTGGAATTACCACAGCCAGCTGGCAAGTTACACTCCGCAGCTCGATGCACGCCCCTCATCCCTCCAGCGCACGCAGCTTGGCTCCCGGCATTGTGACCTCCAGTGCTCGAGCCACACACTGAGCTGCTCGGCATGTGCAGCTTGAACGTTCCTTTTGCCATGGCTTTACGGAAACCGGGCTCACGTACAGAACATGCAGCCCGCAGATGCTCGAGATACTCGCGGAGGCGCACGACTCCGTGTAACACACGTCCAGCACCCCACACTTCAGCCCTTTCCACTAAAGCTGCAACTCCGCAGTGGGGGAAGGCTACAGGTGTCACGAGGGGCGCAGCCTGCGTGCACCACGTGGCCGATTTGCGTCCCGCATGCCTCGTCCGCGGCCTGCGACGGCGGCAGCGCAAGTCTCAAAGCGCCGCGCCGCGTGGGCCCCGGTCCCGGACTGCTAGGTGCAAAACTTGACTTTGTCCGTTCTCGGATGGCCTTGCCATGGGGTGTGAGAGCGCCCTTTGAGGGGGACCTGGCGCCGCTATGCGCCGCTAACACTGCTAACTGCTAACACTGTGCTTGCGCAGGTTCTTGCACAAGTGCTGCGCGAGGTGCCGCAGGCGGTGCTGCAAGCGGCACCGGCCGAGGGTGGAGGGGCACCCTCGCATGCTCGTCGCAACTTATAAGGCTTTGCAATTCTTAGCATGAAAGGAGAGCCCCAAAGCTGCAATTGTCGCAGCCACCACGTGGCCGATCTGTGTCCCGCAGGCCTGGTCTGTGGCGTGCGACGGCGCCAGCGAAAGTCCCCGCGGAGGCTCGCCAAAGCGCCGTGCCGTGTGGGCCCCGGTCGCGGATTGCCCGGTGCAGAAAACTTGACTACACCATGATAATATTGCCATCCGACTCCGTTCTCGGATGGCCTTGCCATGCGAGCGTGAGAGCGCCCTTTGAGGGCGCCCTGGCGCCGCGAACACTGTGCTTGCACAGGTTCATGCACAATTGCTGTCAGGGTTGCCGCAGGCGTTGCTGCAAGCGGCACGCCTGAAATGAGAGCCCGCGTGCGCCCTGTGCCACACAGCTCCTTCAAACTTCTCATGTTGCCGCTCATGATTCTCTCACGCATGGCCTCGGATCACTCGGCGTGTCGGACCATGTCGGACCCGATGCCAAGCAGAGATGTTTGGCGCGTGGTTGCCTTGTCCAGGCGCGTTTGAAGCGCTTCCCCTCCAGCGCTCGCTTGCTTTCAAGGGCTCGAAGAAAGCTCCGTGTGCACCGTGGTCGGTCCTCGACGTATCTCGACGTGCCTGTCGAAGTGCTGCCGCTGAGGATCTCATCAAATCCAACGAGCTGGCATGGGGAGAGACGGTCGGACAGGTGTTGGCATGTCTTGCCAAGCTTACAGACACATGCTGCCTGCCTGGCCAGCGTCCGAGCTGCAGCACAAAGGCTTCGCTGCCACGCTTCATGCAGTGCTTCTGGTGCACCAGCTCGATGAGGTCATGGCATCACAAGGACAGCAACCGTCGTTTCCAGATGCCTTTCTCTCTGCACCACCTGACTGTGCACAGTCCCCTGTACCTGTGCTGAGGCAACTCAAGAGACCTCGATCGGCTGGCTGTCTGCGGAAGCATGTCGCTATGGGCCCAGTGCATCCCAGAAGATCTTGGGACGTGCTCGGGAGAGGAATGTCATACCCCACCGTCAATGCCACCTCACCAGGCGACAGCTCCTGATGAGTCTACACAGGGGATGCAGGCAGAGGCACCCTGCACACCATGCACCCCGAAGTGCACGAGTTGGATCGAGTTGGGTGCAGCAACTTTGGCTGCGATGTCGCGCCGCCAGCTTTTTGCTGTGACTGCTGCTGCCCCAGCGACGGAGCGAGATGGAGATGCCTGGTTCGGCGCTGTGTTCAATCAGCTGGCAGACGATGGCCAGATTGCAACGCCCTCCAGATTCAAGATGCGGCCAATACACCAAAGCCGAAGCCAAGCTTCTAAGTATCATGACGCGGCGATCCACATGCGACATCCAAGGTCCCTGTTCCTAGAGGGCCCTACGGAAGGAAGTGGACACCTTGGAGCCCCTGTCTTGCAAAGCGGAAAGGCCTGTGTGCAGCTCAGCCGCTTGGTGGGTGGAGGAACACATGGTTCTGCGATGTTCTGCGCACAAACGATGCCTCCTATACCCCGCCGCGAAGACACGTAGACCTAGCTCACATAGAAACCCCCCTTGTGCATTCCTTGACGGCAGTCGCCTGCATTCAGAGGTCTGCCTGCTCCGCATTTCTGCCCGACCTAGTTTCGAGGACCTCTCTTCTTGCTGGCATGCCAGGCATGCCTTTTCTCACAGCTTTTGCAGGAGGGGTCCCCCCTCCCCCCCCCGCTTTTTAGCTCGTTGCACCAGGCTCGAACGAAGGCGAAGGCACGCAGTACCTGATGGATCAGTGGAGAGCCAATCAATGAGGATGAACCAGCTGAGTACCATCCTACGCATGCAAGCGAGAAAGAGTAGCTGTTTCTTACATGTCTTTCGGCATTCCTCGGCATGTTGTGGCATTGGTCAGTTCTTTTTTGGATGCGACGCTGACAGGAGGTTCACGCTGTATTAAAATTTGCAGCGTCTTCGAGAACATATAGAATAAGTGTTAGTGTTGATAGAAGATTACATCAGGGTGAGCACCAAAAGAGTCGTCTAAAAAACCGCGTGCTGATACACCGATACACCGATGCACCGTTGCGTGCTCCAGGCATGGGGATCAACAAAAAGGATCAGCACTTATTATACAGATCAATAGAATATGAATGAGGATCAAGAAATATCTGAAGGGTGCAGTTACTCTTAGTCGCTCAGCCTATCTCGATGGCTTCCGGGCTTCATGGCTTGTCTGCCAGCTTCTTTGGCTTCCTGGCTTGATCCTTCGATGTCCTATCATTGAGACGCAGAAGTCCCAAAGTGTCGGGGCCTTCGTATTGTTCACCCGCCAATACGGAACGTGAGCTGGGTTTAGACCGTCGTGAGACAGGTTAGTTTTACCCTACTGATGAACTAGATGCTGCGACAGTAATCGAAGTCAGTACGAGAGGAACACTTCTGGGGGGCGGCCACTTAGATTGCGGGCCGCATGTTTCGAGAGCTCTTCTGCCTCGTTTGCATTGTATATATATATACATATATATATATATGTATATATATATATATATATATAAACAAATAGACCCCTCTCGCAGGGTGGTTTTCTCCCCCACCCCGCCCACCCCACCCACCCACCCCCACTCCCCTGTGCTAAAACCCTAACCCCAAACCCCAAAAAGCACCCGCTGCGGCCCCCCTTGCTAGGCTTACATCCGACCCCTCAAGCCGAAGGCCGACTTCCTAAAGCCTAAGCCCCAAACCCCAAACCCGGACCCAAAAAACACCCGCCACCCTGTGTCCGGGCCCGCAAAAACCGGTCCCCCTACCCCGTAGCTTACATCCGACCCCTTTCACCCTGTGGGCCTGCCAGCCGTGAAAGCGCCACTTCTGCATCCCAACCCCAGAACCCAGCCAGCCCCCCCTGCTGCCCCCTCCACGCACCTCCGCATCGTGGGCTGGTGCAGACACTAAGTGCGTGCGAAGCACGCACGTGTGTCTAGTATATACAAATATATATGTGTAATAACATGTACATATATGTATATATATATATATGTATCATGGATCCCTGATTGCCTGTGAGGGCGGGTTTCTAGTTGCCTTGGTCGTTTTCCTTTCGATTGGGAGTTGAGCTCCAGCTGCTGAGGCCCTCAGACCTCGACCTACCCACCCTCCCCCCCCCCCCTCCCCCACACCCACCCAGCAAAAAAAGTTATGTAAAACGGATCGTACATGAGAGCTTTGACTGTACGACATGTCCAGCGTCCCCTTCTGCAACAGAAGTTTCGGGGTTTCGATTTCAAGGTGTCTTCGTGAGTGTGCTCACTTGCAATGTTTAGGAGCAACTCGGATTCGGGTTCAGCATTTGGTTGAAGCTATACGTTACCTTGCCGAGTGTTGCCAGATTTTTCAGAGCAACGATGCTGGCGACGGTCGTGTCACATTGCAGCTGTCAGCATTTGCCCCGACCCTTGTTTATACGTAACTTGTGTGATTGTGTGATTGCGAAATTTCGAAGCAACGGCGGGGATGGAACGAGTTCCTTTCCGTTGCGGCAGTCGCTGACGTCGAGAACTCTATTGATTCAGATGATGGGACGTAGAGTCAGGGATGAAGCATGATGGAGCAAGTACAGGTCCAACTTCTTGTGATGGGCTGGCAGTAGGTGGTCATGCTGCCACTGGCGGGTCAGGAAAACTCTCAAAAATCTACCTACTTTGAAGAAAAGCGGCGCTACGACCACACGGCAGCTGTAAGGTGAGGGAAGGTCCTAAGGTAGCAAAATCTCTTGACAGGTAAGCTCGGTCCAGCATGAGCGGTGTACTGACGGCAAAAAACTGCACTACCCTCGTCTTTCAGCAATTGAGTCATCTTTGAATACAAGGACCCTTGAGCACTTCGCCGTTCATGCGTTCGTTCACCAAAACCCACAATCTAGGAAATCTCATGCGGTTTTGCTCACGCACGTTCTTTCTACTGTCTCTCTACAATGCCGCAAAGATGTCAGCGTAGCGCAGTGATAGGCTTGTAGAGTGAGAGCCCCAAGATGGGACCAAAAGTTCCCGTAAAACCTCGTAAAACCCGGCAAATGAGGGAAGCCGCCTTGCCGAGCCGCAGGGAGGTGATGTGCCCTGGGCAGACCACCGGAGGTTCAAAGGGGTGGTTGAGAGTTTATAGAGCATCATACGGGGGTTCTTGCTGGGTTTGGTTTGAGGCGTGTGGCCCTAACCCTGACCCTAGACCCGAGCCGAACGACCGAACGACTTGCAGTGTCGGGTCTACGGTTTGACGTTGGGAAGTCATGGGGGGCTCTCTGTGCCCAAGGCATGGGCTTTTCGAGAAGTGCCTCGAAAAAGTGCTACCCATAATCACTTGCAGCAAGACTGGCTTCAGGCATCGCTGTTCATAGTCCAAGCCGCTTTTGTGCTGCTCAGTGGCTTCCTGCATCTTCGTGCCGTTTATGCCCATCGCCATGGATCTAGGGCTTGACGGTTTCGGCTTAGAGGAGGACATCCCGTTGCGCGGCTGGTCTATGAAGCGTGGGCACCGCAAGCGAGTGGAGGCTGCCAGCTGCCGTAAGGCGAAGAAGTCCGGCAAAGCGGGCGAGCAGTACGAGGCCTTGCAAACAGCTCAAGTACAGGAATTGGTGATCATCTATCAAGATGTGGTGATGTACCGGTAGTGGCACTGTTGCAGGGGTTGCCTGCTCTTGCACAGAACTTGATCTAGCCAACACTAGTCTGCTTTCGTCCACACTGGTCAACGCTGGTCAACACTAGTCAACACTAATCAACACTAGTCAACACTCTTCAACACTCTTCAACACTGGAAGCTCAAGCTGCATTCGCGCTCTCCGTCGCAGGTGGGACTGGGGCGCTCCGTCACCAAGCGCAGTGTCCATTCTGGAGGCCGCCACTCATGGGACCAGGAGTTGCGCGTCCGTACCCGCCGGTACAAGTTGAGGCAGCAGATGCACCAGGCAATCAACGAGATCTACGAGGCCGCAATGGAGGCTGAGTGCGCCTTCGAGGACTTGGAGGAAGACTTGGAGGAAGAAGAGAGGAAGCAGATGAAGGAGATGGAAGAGATGGACAAGTGGGCGGCGAAGTGGGAGGACCTCGAGGTGGCCTCTGTGTGCACGTCCACCACGGCGGGTGGCTCCGAGCCCGCCTCCGGTGTCGCCGACTTCGCGGCCTCCGCACGGGCCCCATCGAGCCCGTCGCGCTCCTCCGTGGCCGACGCAACCGGGACATTCGGGACAGTCGCGCCCTCGCTTTCACCGTGGCTCGCGGCCCTCCGGCGGGCGGAGCTCCGGGCCCGGGAGTACGCGGACACCATGCAGCTTGCAGCGCAGCTGGAGAGGGAAGGTCGACGGAGACGCCAGCGCCTGGTGCCTGAGAAGAAGAGCGAGATCGAGAGGCTGGCAGACGAGCTGAGCAGATTGTACCAAGTCAGGCTGTGCCACGATCAGACCGAGCCTCTCACTCCTTTCGAGAAGCTTCGCTGGCAGTTTCTGAAGGACCACGCCCATGCCATCTGCCAGCCACTCTCCGGCTGCTACCTCGGCACTGGCAGGCAGTGGCAGTTGAAGCCAACACCTCTCGCTCCCGCCGTGGAGGACCCCGTCACAGAATAGAGGGATGTCACGCTTGCCTTCGCAGTCGTGTTAGTGAAGCAGAGGGCATGTGTGGGTGTGAGAGAGTGAGAGAGTGAGAGAGTGAGAGAGTGAGAGAGTGAGAGAGTGAGAGAGGGAGAGGGAGAGAGGGAGAGAGGGAGAGGAGGCCCCCGCCATTTCGACCAGAATGTCACGAGACGCCTCGAAACCCGGCGCTCGCGCTTGAGGAAGGCCCTGCAGAAGAAGGAGAAGAAGGAGAAGAAGGAGAAGAAGGAGAAGAAGAAGAGAGGGAGGCGGAAGGGGAGGGAGGGGAGGGGGCGAGGGGCCGAGGGGAGGGCAGAGCCAGCCGACCCCCCTTGCGAAGGACAGGTTCCTCCAGGCCTGCGATCGTGCTGTTGCGGGCGAGCTGCAGCCGGCGCTTCATGGAACGAACGAGACGAATCTCCTGTCCATCTACTCTCGTGGTCTACTCATCCCCGGCGAGTCAGGAATAAAGGTCGTGAATGGATCGGTACATGGCGTGGGAATCTACACAGCCTACACCCAAAGTGCAGGCCTGTCCTGGAGCTATTCCCGCGGCTTGTCTAGGCCTGTACTGGTCTGCGGGGTTCTGGACCCAAAGGCACGAAAGGATGGAGCAGACACTTCGCAGCTGGTGAACTACACATGCAGTGCGCGTATCTTCTTTCAGGAGGACATGGTCTCACCTTTGTTCGAGGCATGCATTGGCAGTGGGGATGCCACCACTGCAAGTGTGCCAAGACCCACCTTTGCGACTTCCAAGAAGCACCGCCTGGAACCGGAACCCGAAAAGAAGCCGAAAGGCCCGGGGCCGCGGACGCGGCTCGTGCGCAGGCGCGTTCCCCGGCGCTCGCCGCAGGCCTTCCTGGCCCGGCACGCGGCGCGCAAGCGGCAGAGTGTGAGCGCACCTCGCGTTGTAATGTACAGTGTACAGCCTGTGTACAGCTGCCGCTTCCCATAGCGCAAGGTTCCTCCTGCTTTCAGGAAGCCCATGCATTGGGCATTTGTGTACAGCATTTGATAATTTGATATGATGCTCCCCGCTAGGGCGCAAGTTGAAGTCTTCTGAGGATGTGGTGAGCTGACGTACGCCTGTCATGCACTGCCGACACTATTTTCTGCAAAGGTGGAGGTCGACGTTCGCCTCGGCTGGTCCTCCACGCTTCTGGCTCCTTTGAAGCACTCTGGTCCGTTTGCCCAACAAGCCTTGAACCCCAAAACAGACCTCGCGCATGGAGACCGCGCCTGGCCAAACTCACACGTCTTCTTGCACTGCGCCTCGGCACCCAACGGCGCATGATTCGCATGATGGTAAATTCTCTACCATGGCCCGACACGTCCCGTCACCCTCCAACTCCCACTAAACACGCAGTTTTGGGGGCAGTTTTGGGCCTCCTTCAAGGGCTCTAGCGGTCTCTCTGCCCACAGGCTTGAGGGAATCGAAGGCCAGGTAGATGGCAGAGGGTGGCGGCTTGTTCTCCCTTCAGTCGCAGTGTTTAAGGCCACCGCAACGATGAGAGCACATGACAAAACTAATTCGTGTCCAAGAGGGCTGCACCAAATCTCTGAGGCCTTTCCTGTTCTTGGAGGACGCTGTCCAAGCTGCGATCTCGACCCTCTAGGCCTGGCCCCCAAACCCCCCCGGCCAGTAAGAGCCCTCGCAGCGGCGACGATGCCCTTGTTGGGGGTCCCTTTAGGGGGATTCTAATCTACTCGATTCTCAAAGGGGGTACCCCTCTTTTGCATTTTGGGAGATGCCCTATTCGCCGTGGATCCTTCAGTCACCCATTCAGAGTTTGTGAACATTTCGGACGGTTGACCGCTTTGGCAGGCCTTTGAAAGAGCCCCCTGAGTCTGCGGCGTTCCGCAATCTGCTGTGACTCTGAGGGCATTGCAGGCCTGGGGTGCGTGAGTTGGGGGGTTTGAGCTGGGTGTGGGAAGCACTCGCCACCATGCAGCCGAGGCTGCTAGGTTCTTTCGTAGACAGCAAGAAACAGCAGAAAGTCCCATGAGTAGACATCATGGGGTGTCCGATCAGCAGCAGGCTTCTTCAATCTCGAGGCCTATACGGCCTGTACGCCCCTTCCGCTCCCTAAAACCCCCAAACCCTACTGAAAGGATGCAGGATGCAGGATAGGCAGGCTGCTGACGCTGTCGCGCTCCATTCCCAGCAGGGTCTTTCTCGAGAGAATGGAAGTTCGAAGCCGCTCGAAGGCAAGTTTCCCCAGAGAGCCCTGGAGTTGACGTGAACCTGGGGGCCAACCACTGAACCTGTAGGCCCCATCTCAGCCCAAGAGTCTTGCACCGAGGCTCCTCTAGATAAACACAAGATGGGAGGGGGGGGTGGCAAGGGATCGGGTTTTTAGACAGGCTGTGCGCCAAATCCAGAAGGGCAGCAAGAAGAGAGGCCTTGTGATCTTGAGACGTTTCCGGCAGCCTTGCATCCACAAGTCCAGCAGCCCTATCACTATATTCCCCTTGTGAATTATTGTTTATTTTGATAATACACCCAAGAGGATATTAAAAGTAGTATTTTTATTAAGGTTCCAAGGGGAGTATAGCACACACACTCGCCATGTGGCCACCCGCCCAGGGTGTAGCAAGCGCATCCGCTACTTTAAATGACGCAACGTAACACGATGTGACGGTTCGGTTTGGGTTTGTTTTTTGAACCAACGGTTCGGTTCACACGGCTCCGTTTTTTTGACCGGTTCGTGCAGTTCGGCTCGCGGTTCCTGACGGTAAGCAGCATAGCTTTTGTCACAAAGAGACGGGCGGCCTCTTTTTCTCCAGAACCGGTTTGTTTCCTTTGCCTTTGTTGATGTCCCAAGATGCCCAAACGAGAAACACTGGAGGCAGTTAGGGGGGCGGGGGTGGGGGGGCGGGAAGGCAGTACACAATTCGGCCCAACCAAGCCCCTGCACGCAAGGGAGAGCGAAGTCCCATGTAATCAGGTCCCCCTTCGTAAAGCATAAAGCCCTTTTGAAATCAATTGTTAGACGGCGGGAATGCCGGGGAGTACAACATTGATAGCCGCGAAGCCACCCACAAAGCACGGCTCACATGGTGCTGGTCCTGATAGCTGTATTGAATTTGTTAGTTTAAACGTTAAAGGACCAAAGAGAGCCATCATGCTGGGCTAACATCAGAATTTCAATGCAAGATGGGAGCCATGTTTGCGAAAAACATGGCTCTTTCACACACTTCACGAAGACATTAGCTCACAACATCATGGGCTGCACTTCCCCATTCTGCTTACTGTTGGTTAGCAGGGGAATGAGGGCGTTGGGGCCTTGTATATACCCTTAACTTATAGGGGTTATATAGGGTACCTCATTCCCTCATTCCCGGCTGACCAACAGTAATTCTTGTCACCCGGGTTTTCCCACACGGATTTGTCTCGTGGCAGCAGGGTCCGTTGCTGTGAAAAGGTCAATTTAGAACATGGCCGAACGGCCAAACCTACAGCGCTCAAGGGCAGGGAGTTGACGTGAGGTCAAATCCAGATTCTGCAAGTCGTTGTACATGTTGAAGACTTGTCGATGTTCGTCTGCAGCTTTGTAGCGCTCAGCAAGTGAAAGATGTTGCAAGAGCTTCGAAGTCGCAGTTCTGCGGCCGGTTGTACGGCCAACGAACAACTGTTGCAGTGGTTGAAGAGTGTGTTATACTCGGCTGCTGACGCTGGCTTCGAATGCTGCCATGGTTGGATTGGCGAAGGGAATGACTCGAATGACCGAAAGGGAATAAAAGCATCACACAACCTCGAAGGACGTGTGCTGTCAGAAATAAGAGACCGAGAATCTTTACATCCGGCCACTGTGCAGTGGTCCGGTATTTATGTGAAGCGCACTGTGTTGTTCGCAAGCAGACGACCTCAAATATTTAAGTTGTTTCCTGCTGGACTTTATTCTTCTTAGGACGGGGTGCGGAGGGTGTGGCGGTTCTATCGCATAAGGGTGAAAGGGTTATCAGAACCACAGGACTCCGAGGCTGGCAGTTCTCCGGTTCTTCCACGGCGGAGATGCTGGATCATTGTCTTCGATCATTGGGGTTTACCCGCTTTCATATTCAAGTTCAACTCAGCCATAATTATCACTTTCATGGCAACTGCCGTAATTTTATTAATGTCGGCCTCCTCGAGCGCAGCGCAGTCGTGTTTTGGGTTTCGTGGGCCCCAGAGCCGATGACGAAGCAGCTGCTCTCAGAGCTTCAGGAGGAGACCGCGATCACACGCGTGGGGGCGAAGAATGTCAAGAGTTGGCTGCAGCAGAAGTCGGGCGAGTTCGTGCACTTGTGCCGAGATGCTGCACGCGAAGGCAAAGAAGAGACATCCATGCAAATTTGGACAGGGCCAAACTGGACAATAGTCCAAGAAGCAAGGGCGACCGAGCTAGCGGAACCAGGCGTAGCTTGGGATGTCGATTGCGAAGTGCTTGCGCCGTTGCTGGAAGCGCAACTGAAGCGCTTCCATCTTCCCACGTGTAGCGCAACGAAGTGCCGGTTCAGCAGCTCACAGCTCCTTGCTGTGACGAATGGCCCCTAGGTGGGCCTTGGGATTTCTTTTGTACATTCTCTCTTAAAATGGGTTTGGAGGAGCCTCTTTTCAGAGGGGTTATTACAGAGCCCCAACCTAGGCCCTTCTGGTCACAAGCTGCTTGGGAAGGGCGCGCACGGAATTGAGGTGCGGGCCAGTTGGACGCCGAACGCAGCCGAAGCTTCCATGGTCGCCCCCCAGGCGTCTTTCGTGCCATTGCCGCGGCCCACGGTCAATTCTGCACCACGCGGTCGGAGGTCGCACCAGCGTTGGGCGGACGGCCTCGAAAGTGTTGATGCAGGACGCCGCGACTTCTTCCCAGCCGGTTGGGTGCCCAGCAAAGCTGTCGCGGAGTCGATCCAGACCTTGGGCTACAGCCCGCCACAAGGCTCAAAATTTGGCTTGCCGTTACACATAATTATTATCAACAGGTGTCAAGGTCGGGGTTTGAGGTTTTGTGTGCTAGGTTGCAGTGCGGCTCCGTGATGCAGAGGGCAAGCGCAATTGCAGAAGAGTTGCGAGAGATGGGCATGGGCTACATGAGCATGGAGCATTCAGCGGCCGTCTTGGCGTACACACAAGAGGACGCGCGCGGCGTTTTAGTTCATAGGTTTTGCAATCGCTCACCCTCGCCCGAAACTGCAAGGGCTTTCCGTGTTGCTCTGTCTTGCTTCTTAACCGAACAGGTTTCTGCGATGTTCCCCCCCCCCCCCCCCCCCCCCCCCCCCCCCCCCCTCCCCCCCCCAAAGGAGGACCCGTGCCTCTACATGAAGCTCAACGCCGCGATGCGCTCCCAAGATCCCCAGGATGAGAGGAGGCTGAAGGTCTACCTGGACTACATCTACCATCTCACCGAGGCCCTCGCCCTCTTGCCGGCGTATGCAGGGGCGGCCTACCGTGGTACAAGCATCTTCTTCAAGAGTGGCTTGTACGAAGTCGGCAAGAAGATCACCTGGCAGGCCTTCACCTCCACGACCCGGGACCAGCTCGCGGCCATCAGCTTCCTCCAGTGTGAGTCCAGGAAGCTGTCGGGGACACTTTTCGTGCTGGAGGTGAAGTCCGGTAGGAGAGTGGAAGCAATCAGCGAGTTCGTGGAAGAGAAGGAAGTGCTCGTGAGCTACAACTCGTTTTGGGAGGTTACCAAGATCGTGACCTCCCCGGCGGAGAAAGCAGAGCTTTGCGACGACTTGAGTGCCTATAACTTGTCGGACTTGGACGTCTACTGCTTGAAGCAGTTGTAGAGGTCTTGAGCGGACCCCACGACTTGTGGACTGGTTTGTCCTCTTTCGTTGGTGGAGGTTTGAGAGCTGAGAAGACAAGGCAGAAGCTGCCACGATCCCTGGCGCAATAGGAGGTGCCCTGACATACTGGCATCCACTTCACGTATCACTTGCTTTAATGTGCTGAAGCATCTGAGCCCGCGCTTCCCTTCAAAAAGCCGTCCCAGAAACCTTGCACACTCCAGCAAAAACCCTCACTACCTTCATAAACTCTACATATCTTTTGTTACCTTTCAACCTAAACCCTGCCTAAACCTTGAGCTGCAAGGCAGCGCCAAAATGGAGAAGGGTTTTATGGTTTGGGGTTTCTTGCAAGTGTGCATGACATCGTTGAACAACTTCTGTGCTGAAACTCGAAGCTTGTAAGATTCTTTTTGGGCAAGGATGGGACGTCCGCGAGGTTCAGGGTTGAGGGTTTAGGGCTTCTAAGGTTGCGGGTTAAGGGTTCAGGGTCCCGGGTGTTTCATAGATCATGCTCGGGGTAGTGCGAGCAGGAGTGCGTGCAGGGTTTAGGGTTCAGCAGCTCATGTATTGGCTTTCACGTTACCGCCACAGGATCAGTCGTCTGCCGGGTACAGATATTTAATCATATGCAGTTTCGAATCGCAGAGTACTTTTGCATGCAACATATACCCTCTGTAGATTCCGTAGAAGTGCGCGCGCTTCGCATTCCGCGTACCCTTACCTGTGAGTTGATGCTTTGCATCCATATCGACTCGTCCGTTCTTTTCTCCTTCTTGGCTCGAGCCAAGACATGGAAGCCGCCGGCCTCCGCGAGGCGGGGTGGGGGAGGAGTTATGCGAAGTTGTTAAACTCTGGTCAGTACAGGTCTCTGCAATCTCTAATTGCAGTATACTCCGGTATTCTAGCCGAGATTCTAGCCTTTGTACTACACTCAAGTATACTTACCCATACTCTACAGGAATCTCTAATTGCTGTATACCCTCTGGTATTCTCGCCTTGGTACTACACGCAGGTATACCATAGTTCTGCAGGAGATCGTGTACACTAGACGGGAGCGCTGCAGGGACCTCTTCACCCGCACCTTGGGCAACAGGGAAGCGCATCATATGCCCATAACACCAGTGCATTTCTACATAGTATCAACAGTATACAATATACTATACATGACATTCTGTGTGCTATTATAGATGCACGATCCTGCGCATCTTGCGTGCGACATATGACCGAAGTTGTTCAAGGCTGGAGCTGCTTTGGACCGGGTTTACACAAAAGAGGGCTTGTGAGCAGGTCAAAGCATGCATGGTGTGCTTGCTTAGTGCTAGTGCAGCGTGTTGTTTTCCTTTGCATGTGTAGTTTTGCAATTCGTAACAATGCCAATGTTTTGGCTCAAGTACCGAGCTTGTGCCTTTGAGCACGGTAGTTTCGTACAGTAGCTCTTAGGTTGCTGTGCGGTCCGACCGGACGCACTCAGGCGTAGCTGCACAAGTGCTTGAACTCGCGAAGTCGTAAAACAGCGTGACCGGGCTGTGATTGCATTGGTTTAGTGCAAGTCCAGTGCTGGTCGACTTCACAATTGGGGGCTGTTCTGGGAAACGTACAGCTCTTGTGCCTACGGCCCGAGTGGGCAAGCATTGCTTTGCTTGTCTGTCGCGGTCCGTGACCTGGACGCGTGGACTGTGTGCCACGCTTGCGGCCTGTTAACCAAGGCGCGGCGCTTCGTGTGCCACGCCTGCGGCCTGCTAACCAAGGCGCGGCGATGTCCGCAGAGGTTGCAGGTCAGGCCGAGGGCGTCACCCTCCTCGAAGCGATCGAGGGTGGTGACGTTCCCTATCCCGAGCGGATGAGCTACGTCGCTTGGCTTAAGTGGCGTAGGGAGACCGGCAGTCGTCCGCTGTCCAAGCGGGATGGGGTTAGCACAACGCCAGAGCAGGAGGCGGCTCTTTGGCGAAAGGTTATGAAGTTCCTCCACGACGCCGAAGGCGAGGACGAGGAGGAAGAGGAAGAAGAAGAGGACTCCGAGCTAGTTCCTGAGGCCTCGGGCGCTGGAGGCGACAGTCCGCCGCGGGTGGACGTCAGCGCCGCGGCCAGGGAGCTGGCCATGGTCCCTACCGGTGCTGCCTATGTCCCTGCTACGGCACCAGGGTCCCGCCTGGCGGGGCCGTCCGGTCCGCCGTCGACAGCAGGTTCAGCGCCAGGCACCGCAGAGGGCTTGCAGGCGGAGCTGCGCGCGATTTTCCGTCCAGACCAAGAACCGGTCGCGGACTACTTGACGCGCGTTTCGCGGATTGTCCTCGCGCTCAAGGCGCATGGAGTCACGGTGAGCTCCCGTGACCTTGACGCCTTGAGCACCAAAGCCACCCTCCTTGCGGATGAGTTCTCGAAGATAGGCGGGGACTGGCATCCGACAAAGATGGTCCGTCGGCTGCGGACCAGATTCTCGGTCGCGGCTTTGCGCGGTGGCGAGGACCCCGAAGACGCAGAGGAGATTCAGCGTGAAATCCAATGCATCGGGGAGCTTATCCTCGCGTTGGGGGAAAAGAAAGCTCGAGCCAAGAGAAGGTTTGGAGCTCCCCGTCCGATGTGCCAGTTGAAGCCGTGGGGCCGCGTTCCCCAGGGCTCCCACAGCCTGCGACTGCAAGTGGGTTGGGGGTAGGTTTGGACCGTGGAGGTTTACACACTGCCGAGGTTGCAGGTGGTCCTTCCGCGGCCCGTGACCTGGGCGCGACGGACGGCGATTCCCCTTTGCGCGCAAAGCTCGCGGCGCTGGAGATGGAGATAGAAGCCCTGAAGCGAGGTTCAGACGGCGGAGGTTCGCAGACCGGGTCCCAAAACCCGGCGGGCGATTTCGCCGCCGCACTCGCCGCCCAAACTGAAGCGCTGAAAGAAGCGTTAGCGCAGAGGGGCGGGCAAAGCTCCATAACGACGGTCAAAACTGACCTCACGTGGCCGACGCTGACCGACGACAAGTCGGACGCGCGAGACGTTGTCCTGTTCTACGAGGAGTTCGAGGACGTCTGCGCGCTCGCCAACAACTGTCGCGGTATGAGTGCGCGCGAGAAGCTGCTAGCGCTACGCGGGCGCTGCCGCGGCTCGCGCATGAAGACGTACACGAACGCCTACCGCGCAGCGTGGAAGTCGGGAGAGGTTCTCTCCGACCCACAGGCAGTGTACGACCGCATCAAGAACAAGCACTTGATGTTCGGGGAATCGCGGGAGGAAAGAGAAGTCCGCGTGGATGGTGAGCGTGCCTCCCTCGCTAAGGGCAAGCTCACAGGCCACCAATTCGAGCCTTTGTTTGAGGCGTCGATCGCGGACCTTGAGGCGGTGGGCCTTGGGAAGACCCCACGAGAGTTGTATCTCTCGTACCTCCGCAAGATGCCCCCGTATCTCCAAAAGGAGATACGTAACGATAAGCGGTTGTGGCCCGGCGATCCCAAGGACGGCGGGCTGAGAGGGCCGCAGACTTGGGAGGAGAGCCACAAAGTCGTCTTGGAGTACGAACAGAGGGAAGCAGCGCACCGTGCTGTTTCCCACTCTGTGTACTCCACGACCGGCTCTCCAAGCGCGGACCCGTCGGTCGCGCTAGCCGAGGCTCAGAAGGAGATTCGGAGCCTCAAGGCCGCCGCTAAGGCCGCTGCGAAGGGAGCAGCTGCCGCGGCCAAGGCTGGCGCGGATCAGACGTTTGCCGCTGCGTCGAAGGGAGCTGGCAAAGGAGCGGACAAGAAGATCTGCTTCCACTTTCGCGACCACGGGAATTGCCCGAAAGGGGATGCCTGCCCGTTCAGCCACGACAAGGAGCTTCGCAGAAAAGCTCTCGCGGCCAAGAAGGGTGACCAAACCTTTGCCACGGCGAAAGGCAAGGGCAAGGGGAAGGGAGGTGGCAAGGCAAAGGCCAGCGCTAAGCCTAAGGCTGCGGCCAAAGGCGCGGCAAAGCCACCAGGCACTGTTTGCCCCTTTTTCTCCAAGAATGGGTCGTGCAAGAAAGGAGCCAGCTGCGACATGGTCCACAACCTGACGACCTCAGGAGGGACGCCGGCCTTGCCTGCCAACTGGGCCGCGCCCTCCGGGGCTTCCATGTCCAACCCCTTCGCCGCGTTCAGCGTCCAGATAGGCAGCTCAGGCGTCCAGGCAGGCGTCTCAGGAGCCGCAGGACGCGCCGCGGTGCAGCAGCACGCGCTTCCGTTGAGCAAGGGTGGGCGGGACAAGTTCGCCACCCTGGACGATCTGCCGAAGGACTGGTGGAACCTGGCGGACAACGAGCCAGGAGGCTACCAGTACAGAACGGTAGTCCAGGTGCTCGACCGTAAGGTCGAGTGCATGCTCGACGGATGCGCCGGCGCAAACCACGTAACCGAGGAACTTGTGGTGGGCATGATGAACCGGGCTGCAGAGCTGGGGATCGGTACCGAAGATCCCGGCTTCCCGGTCGTGAGACTCGAGAAGTGGGTCCACCCCGAATATGTGCATGGCATTGCTTCGGGAGCCCCCGTTCCTCTGAAGGGGGCAGCAGTCTTGCGCGTCACGCTGTTGGAAGGCAGGACGGCGGACGACTGTCGCCCCAACACTGAAATTTTCGTGCGATGCAAAATCGCAGCCAGGGGGACGTCCGATTGGCACGGACTGATCCTCGGCGGCAGAGCGTTGGACTGCGCCGGAAGGATGGGCCTGGGCTTCAGGCCGGGTCCCGACTTTCACGTCCTCGACACGCTGGGAATCAGGATGCCCAGGTGCGAGGATCACAGCAAGACCCGGAAGGACAGGGCCTACGCCTTCGAAGCGCGGTTGTCGAGCCTGGACGACGCGTCATGCACCGAGCCTGGGGGCGGAAGCCGGGAGCTCCTCCGCTACGACGGGGAAGAGCCTCTCGAGCTCTCGCCAGGCGACGGGGTGCTGGTGCCGGTCGTGCGGGAGCAAGGAGTCTCCGCAGAGGGATCCCTGTCCGAGGTAGTGCTTCCGGTGGAATGCGGGGTCGAGGCCGTACCAGGCCTTTGGCCCAC